GGGTCACGGAGCCTATGCAGCTTAGATGGTGTTGGTGGCCCTGATTTGAGGTGAATCTGAAAAGGGAATCAGCTGTGGTTTGAGGAACTTATTTCTCCTCTGTGGCTCCAGGTTGCCAGGAACCTGAACTCCATTCCGTTCTCCATGGGGGTGGCAGGGGCCCAGATGCTTGGGTCATCTTCCATTGTTTTTATTTTCTTTCTTTTTTTAAAGATTTATTTATTTGAAAGAGTTATACAGAGAAGGATGTGAGGGGTGGGGGGGTAGGGAGGTAGAGAGGGAGGGGTCGGTCTTCCATCCACTGGTTTACTCCCTAAATGGGCAATGCGGCCAGAGCTGGGCTGATCCAAAGCCAGGAACTTCTTCCGGGTCTCCCATGTGGGTGCAGGGGCCCAAGGACTTGGGCCATCTTCCACTGCTTTCCCCGGCCACAGCAGAGAGCTGGATTGGAAGTGGAGTAGCCAGGACTCAAACCGTCGCCCACACGGGATGCCAATTCTGCAGGCAGTGGCTTTACCCACTATACCACAGTGCTGGCCCCCCATTGTTTTTCCTAGGTGCATTATCAGGATTGGAGACGGAAACCAATGCTCATATGAGGTGCCAATGTCGCAGTTGGTTGCTTAACGCACCATGCCACGAGTTAGAGTTTTTATTGGACTGCAGCACTCCTGAAAGTACTCGATCAGAGTTCACGTTCCCCAAATTAATGAAGCTCCCACTGCGCCCTGTCCTCACATCTCAGTTGTTAGTGAGCGGAGTGTTGAGCTGGGGAGGCTGTTGCCTTGCCCGTGTGGTAGATCTCTTGACCTGGAATGAACCAGCTTAAGAGGAAAACTAAAAAGTGAGGTTGCTGGTGAGAGAGGAGATGCAGGGAAGAAAGAGCCTTTGTCTTCAGTAACAGCTGACGCAGGTCAGAGGTGATGGGTGTCAGCCCAGGGAGCTTAAGAGCTTAAACGCCACTGATTACTTAGGCCATAAATGAGGTGTTTGGGCCTTAAGTTCCCCAGACCAGAACAGCGCCATTCTGAATGATTGAACAGGCAGTGTTTTATCCTGTTGTACAGGTGTTTTCCAAAAGCAGGGCTCTGTGAAGAGGGGCGAGTGTGTTTTGCCAGCTGTTGGGTACGGTGGTCAGTGTTGAGCGCATTGTAGGAGCTGCTCTTGGGGGACTGGAGTGCATGCATTCCTCTGAGAAATGTCTCGGTGCTGGGGAGCTCCCTCCAGGGACTCCAAGTTTCCTAGCAACCTGCTTGTTGCCGTGGTGACGCATTACCCAGGCAGCAGATCCACTGCCCTGTGGAATGTATGCACTGACTGTCCGCACTGGGAGGCTGCACCTTGTGTTTTCTGTTTTTTATTTTGGTAACTAGACTCAAACAGTATTTAGCATATGCTACCTGAAGTGTTTAAAAGGAAGAGCACACGTTGTGTGGCTAAAACAAGCAGGTAGAGCGTCAGGTACGTGTGCCAGGCAGGGTGGGGCCCTTCTTTGAGGTGGCTCTTGAAAATTTTTGGTCATGATATTGTGTGCATTTGGCACCCTCAGTGGTGCTGTGCTTCATTAGAAACTTGTCATTTGCAGATTCTGTGCGTGAATGAGGTAGTTTATTAAACTGGGTTTAGGTTTGACTGTAAGCAAAAGATACTGAGAATAATAGTGGCTTAAATACAGTTGGATTCCTCCTGGTTATCACAGGAAATGGAGGAGCCAGGAGTGCAGCAGGGGCCTTCAAGCATCCTTCAAGTCTAGCCCTTTGTCTCATGGCCCGAGATGGCTGACTAAGTTCCAGCCACCACACCTGCATCCAAAGGCGTGGGACTGCTGCTTATACCCTGTTGACCGGAATGGGGTCTCATGAGCAGACTCTGCTTTGGGGGAACGGGGGAGACCGGGACATGTGGTCCTTAATCTTGGCAACCGTGTGTTGAGCTAAAAATCTGCAGTTCTGTCCTGACAGAGGAAGGGGGGAAGGAAGTAGGGGAGCAGCCTGTGTCTTGGCTGTGGTGGGGAAGGATTGTTCCTCAAATCGGCTTGTAAAGCTTAGGATTCTTTTTGGTCTGATTTTAAAGTTAGCATAGGAGAACATTAAAATTATGCTACAATATAAGAACTAGAACCCCTGTCCTGGTCCTCTCCCTACAGGTAGGTAGGTGTACCTTCAGTGAGTTCCTAGCTGTCAGGGTCAGCACCTTCTCGTGTAATCTTCACTCAGTCCCTGAGAAGCAGGGGCTCACTGTGGTGGCAGGTGCCCAGGGGCTGGTGGACAGCAGGCCAGGGATTTTTGCTGGGCTGCGACTGCTCCCAGCACACAGACGAGTAACATGTTGCCGTGTGCCTCCTTGCCCCTCCTATTTAAGGAGCGCCTGGAGAGGGTTTGGGGTGGCTCTTAGGAGAGCTGGGTTCTAGAAACACTTTGAACAGTGATGCCTAAGGCTTGGAGTCTCCTGCAGGGGACTCGGCTTGTAGCTCAAGTTTCATGAGCTTCAGAACGCGGTTCACCTGTGGCCTTCGTGCCCTGCCAGGCCCCTTCCTTGCTCATGCAGAACCTGTTTAGCACCTGGAGGCCCAGCGTCAACCCCCTGGGCTGGTACCTCACAGCGTGGCCCAGGTTTCGTTCTCTGGCCACTCCTGGGTCTTGAGTTGGGTAACTGCCTGTCTGAGGTTGTCGGGATCTGGCTCCTCAGGTCTTTGAACTGCCAGTTAATTACCTGGGAAGCGTAGAGTGAGCCGCTGAAGCAGCCTTGACTCGGCCCCCTGTGGGGCACCTGTTCCTGGTCACGGTGGGTGCATGAGAGCAAGCTGATCCGGTTGCTGCTGTGGGCGAGAGCACTTGGCGCCCTCCCGTAGGGTGCGGGCGTGCACGCACAGTGCGGCTGATAGCGAGAGGTTCCGTTTCACCAGCTCCTCAGAGTAGCCACCCCGGCCAGGCCCCATTTGCAGAGTTAAGGTCACGCGATTCAAAGTGGTAGCGCCAGGATCTCATGCCTGATTGCAAAGCTCGTCATGGAGCGGAGCAGACAAGTTCAAGTCTCAGGGAGGTGATGGGCAGGGCGGAACGGATGGTGTAGTGCCCTGGCGGTGTTGCATGTTGATGTGTGATTGTATGAACTTGACGTTGTCTTCACTTTGTACATGGGAGGACAGAGTCTGGGGAGCAGTGATCTGCCTGAGGCTATTTGGAGAGGACATCCCAGAGTTTGACTTAGAGGCAGATTGTGTTTGCTTCCACTGAACCAGGAGTTGCGAAGAGCATTAGATGGTGGTAAATTGCCCTAGAAAGTGTGCGTCTAAGACTTAGTGCCCTCTCGCAAGAAGTCTCAAGAGCACCTGCATTCCCACGGCTCCAGTGAGCTCTCCTTGCCTCCCGAGCTGCTGCACACCCCCTCCCACCCCAGCAGGTCCAGCTCTTGGCCAGTCTCAGTATACTTGCAGTGAGACTTGTCTTTGATACAGTGACGTCCATGTGAAGTCATTCAGAACATGGTGAATTTCTTCTAGAACATTTCTGTGTGTTCTCAGCCCGGGGGTCAGGAGGCAGTCCCAGCTTTCCCGAGGAAATAGCGTGGACGTCCGTGACTGCACAGAAGGCATGTCTGCACTGGCTCACATGCAGGCCCTTGAGCCGCAGGTGTAGTGTGTGGTTTGCCTGGAGTGGTGTTGGTGTGCTCAGCGGCCCACTTCATCAGAAGTCTCCCGGGAGGCCGGGCAAACAGACGTTCTAAGAACTTTCTTAGAGTTCATATTGCCTCGAGAAGGAAGTTGGTCTTTGGGGGCAGGGTGGACTCTGCTGGGGCTGTGTTTTGAGAAATAACTTACCAGAAAGTGGTTTGGGGTGAATTTTTTTTAAATTTGAAAGACCAGCACAGAGATAGATGTGTCATCCGTGGCTTACTTCTCCAGTGCCTGCAACAGCTGGGGCTGGGCCGGTTTGAGACCAGGAGCTGGAAACTCCACCTGGGTCTGCTGCGTTGGTAGCAGGGACCCGAGTCCTGGAGCCATCCCTGCAGCTGATTGTCATTCTACGGAAGTGGACATCTCCGTGCTGAAAGCAGTTTTTTCTCCTGTGGTTGCTCTCATCACTTAACAAAAAATTCTTTTTTTTAAGATTATTTGAAAGTCAGTTACAGAGAGTGAGAGACAGAGGTCTTCCATCCGCTGGTTCGCTCCACAGATGGCTGCCAGCAGCCACCATTGGGCCAGGCCAAAACCAGGTCTCCCACTTGGGTGGCAGGGGTACAAGCACTTGGACCATCTTCCACTGCTTCCCCAGGCACATTAGCAGGGAACTGCATCAGAAGTGGAACAGCCAGGACATGAACTGGTGCCCATATGGGATGCCAGTGTCGCAAGTGGTAACTTTGCTTGCTGTGCTTCAGTGCCAGCCCCACTATAGAAAATCTTAGATTATAAAGGCTTTTTTATTTTGGGGTGCAAGACAGGGTGGTGAGGCTCCCTGACACTGTTTGGAAATAGTTGGAGAGTCCTAGGGAAGGGCATCTGGCTTAGGGATTAAACTGCAGCTGAGATGCCCACATCCCTTGCTGAGTGCCTGGGTTCAAGTCCCAGCCCCTGCTCTTGGCTGCAGCTTCCTGCTGACACAGACCCTAGGAGGCAGCAGTGATGGGTCAAGTCACCGGGCTCCTGCACCCACATGGGCAGACCTAGATTGAGTTCTCAGCTTCCAGCTTGATCTTGGCTGCTGTGTGCATTTGGGGAGTGAACCAGAAAATGGGAACTCCCCCACTTTCTCTGTCTCAAAAAAAAAAAAAAGCAGAAAGAAAATGAACCAGATAAGTGAGTCCCTTCCAGCCCTGTGACTTGGGACGACCCAGCTCTGTTTGGAGACAGCTGTGGGAGTTGTGTTTCCTAGGCCGGGGAGAGCCAAGTGAGAGTACCTGGCCAGAGGGCCAGGACCAGCCTCGTCCTGGGGAAGTGCATGCGGGGCGGCCAGTGTCTTGAGAAGGCAGAACACCTTCACTGGGGCTTTTCTTTCCAGGTCTAGCCAGCCCAGTCCTGGGCCTGAAAGAATGCACCAGAGGCTCGGCGGTGTGGTGCCAGAATGTGAAGACGGCTGCCGAGTGCGGCGCGGTGAAGCACTGCCTGCAGACCGTGTGGAGCAAGCCCACTGTGGTGAGCGTGGTGATCCCACGTGTGGCCCTCTGCGGGGTGGGGCTTCCCTGTGTGCCTTTGTCCTGCTTAGCTTTGTTTGCTCCTGGCTGTGACCCTGTAGCCCTGTGTCACTGGATGTACCTCTTGGACCTGCCGAGAAAGCAGAGGCTCAGGTTAAGATTCCCTTTCCCTGCGGTCATCTGGTCTCTTCGGCGGAGAGGACCAGGCCCTCTGCTGTGCCCCGCCCAGCGCCCCCCAGGCCTCTGGAGCCCTCACTCCCCACCCTGGATAAGGGGCCAGTGCTCTGCAGTGCTGTTCCCAGCACTGGGCACACAGGCACAGCCCTGACCTTGGCCACTTACTCCAAAAAGTCTATGCTGAGCTCTGCAGGTTCTTCCTGCAGTCTGAGATTCTGTTCTCGCCTCCTCCCTCTCAGACAGGAAAACCCACTGAGTGAGGCCTTGGAGCTTAGGGGGTACTTAACATCTTATTTCCAGCCATAAACACACCAAGGAGGAAACCAGCAGCTGACCCTGGGGGACTGGGCCCAGCCTGTCACGTGGCACAGGCCATGTTCAGTGAGTGGAGTTTGCGCTCTGAAATGAGTCACCAGCCACGAGTTCAGACAGAACACTTAGTTAACTAACGCCGCCATTCTCTGGATTGTTTCTGAGCATGGCCAGGAGTGCTTTCAGATTTGGTTCCTCCTTTGCTCCAATCTCGATTTTATTGCTGCTTCCTCTTTACAAATTTGTCAGGTGAGGTCTGGATGGGAAGGTGTCTGTGGCTGCCTGGCCTCTGGGTGTGGCCCAAACGCCGTACTCGCCCAGCCAGGTCCCCAGGTTTGGGTTGATTGGACTGGTTTCTCTAAACGCAGAGGCGGGCGCAGCCTCCCTTACTGCCACCCGGAGGTGTTCGTTCCCGCTCCCTGGTCCAGAGCCGGCAGGTGCATTCCTCCCCAAGAGCGGTGAAAGCCAACCAGGGTCTCCTTGGCTCCCGGGCTGGGTGGGGCCCTGATGCTCAGGCTCATCAGGGGGCTGCCTTGGTGTGGCTGACGCGGCACAGCACTGCTGGGAGGTCGAAGGTCGACCCAGTGCAGGGAGATGGCAGCGGGGTGTGCCGGCTGCCCCACCGCGCCTTGCTGTGTGATAGATGTGGCTCTGGCTTCGCTTTTGAGCCTGTGTCCTCAGAGTGGTGGGTGTGTTCAGGAGAACGTGACCTGTACCCTGTGCACCAGGGAGGGTGCAGAGGGGCGGAAGGCACAGACAGGAGCGCTGTACCCTGTGGGAGCACAGGGGTTTTCCGTAAATCACCCCCCACCCCCATGGCGTCCTGCAGCCAGGCACGCGCCGTGCGCACGTCCTGCGGTAGCTAGTGGAGAAGGAAAGCCGTGGCCGTCCGCAGCTGTGTGGCGTGTGACTTGTGTGCACAAATACAGATCTCTGTCCCTCGGGTTCTTCGTAGAAATCCCTTCCCTGCCGCCTGTGCAAAGATGTCATCAGCGCAGTGGGCGAGATGCTCAAGGACAACGCCACTGAGGTGAGCAGCCGCCGGCGGGAAGGCGGGCGCCACGGCCGGGAAGGCGGGCGCCACGGCCGGGCGGGCTCCACCCTCCACCCGAGAGCCGAGCCCCAGGGCCCAAAGGGGAGTGGTCTGGGTGGGCCCAGGGTGGCAGGTGTCTTCTGTCAGGGACCCTGGGGAGGTATTACAGGCCTGTGGGCACCTATATGTCTCTCTCTCTCCCTCCCCCTCCCTCCCCTTTTTTTTTTTTTTTTAAAGAAATGGGGGATGTTTCAACACTTTAAAAATGTAAACATTCCTTTTAGCACTGGGCTGTACAAAAATAGGCTGAAGTTAGCTGACTGCTGGACTAAGTATTAAATGCCCAAGGTTAATTGGGATTTTATGTGCATGACCTTAACATCCAGGTGCAGTTGGGTGTTCTCTGTTTAGAACTCCCTGTGTCTGTGGGACGTCGGGTCAGGGGTCTTCATTTTGGATTTTCCTGCCTGCTTTTGTGTGATTGAGCTGACAGACGTGGGTAACCACCGGCCCCCCATCAAGTCCTCCTCCCTGGGGGCTGGCTGTTCTCAGGCCTGCTTTTTCCAGGGTCTGTTAAAGGTTGTCTTGCTCACGGCTGCTCCGCAGGGAGGAAGCCCAGCTCGACCCTGACCTTTGCCCGGTGTCCCCTCTTAGGAGGAGATCCTCGTGTACTTGGAGAGGACCTGTGACTGGCTTCCTAACTCCAACTTGTCTGCCTCGTGCAAGGAGATTGTGGACTCCTACCTCCCTGTCATCCTGGACCTCATTAAAGGAGAAGCGGTTAGTGGTGGCAACAGGCACTCCGGAGACCAGAGGGGAGGGTTGGGCACGGGAAGCCTGCTTGCAGCAGGGGGCTCCCTCCACAGCTCTGCACAGCTCTGCACAGCTGGGGAGGCTGCGGCGATGGGGTGGTGGAATTGATGGTGCTGAAGGAGTGTGATCCAGGATTCTGCTTAGAGTTGCCAGTTGGGGGGCTCACATCCAGTCTAAGATTTTGAGAGGCAGAGTTAGAGAGGGAGAGACAGAGAGGTCTTCTACCCATTGGTTCATTCCCCAAATGGCCACAATGGCTGGAGCTGTGCTGATCTGAAGCCAGGAGCTTCTTCTGAGTCTCCCACGTGGGTGCAGGGGCCCAAGTACTTGGGCCATATTCTACTGCTTTCCCAGGCAGTGGGAGAGAGCTGGATCGGAAAGAGGAGCAGCTGGGACGCGAACTGACGTCCATATGGGATGCTGTCAGTGCAGGCGGAGGCTTAGCCTATTACGCCACGGCACTGGCCTGTGTCCAATCTTTCAGCTGACCCTTTGATCAAGCAGGTGACTTCATCTCTGTGAACTTAGAATTAAGGAGTGATCCGGGGACTGTCCTTGTGGGTTCAACTGTAAGTTTTCCTGTTGTTAATCCAGCAGGCACACGAGCATGTTGTACCCCAGCTGTGTGCCAGATGCTGGGTTTCAGCCATGAGCAAGGAGCTGCCTCTGGAGTTTGGAAAGGGACAGAGACAGAGTGGCTTTAGGAGACCGAAGAGGGTGGCAGGGCAGGAGCGTCCTGAGACAGGACCGTGGTTTTGACAAGGAAGGCAGCAGTCACGTTGTGCAAGGCCTTCCGGGCTGCGTTCAAGGATTGCAGCTGTGGCCGGGAGCCCTCGGAGCAGTGAAGGAGGGACTGCGTCGTCGGAGCTGCGTGGGCTGTGGGTAGCAGGATGTGCGGGAGGTCATCACACTGAGAAGAGACGCATCGGGAGTGCCTTCTAGGTCTCTGGGGAGATGAGGGCAGAGGGGAGCAGGTTGGGTGGGCTGGAGACAGTAATCTGAGATGCGGAGCTGGGCGCGGGCGTGTGAGGCACGGAGGAGGTGAGGACTCGGCGGCACGGGCAGGTGCTCAGAGCCCGGTGTTGCCTTGGCTGCCTTGTGGAGAGGCTTGGAATTGCTGACCCTCCTCTCCAGCCCTCTCTCAAAAGAAGAGCCGAGGTTGAGCACAGGGGATGTTCAGGAAGCCTAGAGGCTGCTGGGTAGTTAGGCACCAGGGCTGGGATTGTGGTAGTCTGCTCAGGGAGTCAGCTTGGACAAGATGATGTGTTTCTTGGTTATGGGTGTGGGGAGAGGGGCGCACTCGATGGTGCCGGGCAGCCCCCGTGTGCTCGTGCAGGGAGCAGGTTCTCAGCTGTGCCTCTTGCCTGCAGAGCCGGCCCGGGGAGGTGTGCTCCGCGCTCAGCCTCTGCCAGTCCCTGCAGAAGCACCTGGCGGAGCTGAGTCAGCGCAAACAGCTCGCGTCCAATAAGATCCCGGAGCTGGACATGCCTGAGGTGGTGGCTCCCTTCATGGCCAACATCCCCCTCCTCCTCTACCCTCAGGACGGCCCCCGCAGCAAGCCGCAGCCCAAGGTGAGGCGGGGGCCCCGTTGTTGGTCGTGCTGGGGCTGGGACGGGAAGGGGGCCGCGTGTGCGGTTGTGCGGCTTATCCCTTGTGTGACGGCGCCTGACACCTGCCCGCCTTGAAGGGCTGGTCACGGGGACTGTGCCGTCGCGGTAATGAACACCCCACTGACTTTAACCCGGCCGGTGGTTGGAGAGCGCCAGGCGCCGTGGCCGGGAGTGGGTGAGGACGCTTCCTGGGCTTCCGTCCTCTCGGTCACGGTGTAGCTGACCTCGCCTCCTTGTCTGCAGGACGATGGCGACGTGTGCCAGGACTGCGTTCAGATGGTGACCGACATCCAGAACGCTGTGCGCACCAACTCCACCTTCGTGGAGACCCTGGTGGAGCACGCCAAGGAGCAGTGTGACCGCCTGGGCCCCGGCGTTGCTGACATGGTGAGCCTCGCCCCCGTGCCCTGGGGAGTGTGCTGGGTCCGGGAGGGGGGACCAAGGAGACGCGGCCCGTTGCCGCCTGTGGCAGCGTTTTAAGTTGCATCCTGGCCAGAACTGTTGTCGAAGGAGCGCCCCGTGCCCCGTCCCAGCTGCTTGGCTGCGTGACTGACGGGACAGAGTGACGGAAGGCCACTCTGGTGGAAGCGCGCTCTTCCAGTCAGTGTACGCGCTAGAAACCACACTGCAGCCGTGCGTGACCCTGTTTCTAAGAGCACTGGGGTTCTCGGTGCTTCCTGCGGAGAGCAGGGTTGCCTCAGTGGGAGCCCACGGGCACAGCCAGCAGGAGGCTCTGCCGGGAGCCCTGCTCCTCCTCGGGCTCAGACACACGCTGTGTCGGCCTCTCGGGTCCTCGGGTTTGGAGCTCTGTCCTGTTAGCAGCCGCACTCGGGAGATGGACTTGCATCACTCGGGTGCCGCAGTGGCTGATGGTTGGAGAACCTGCTGGGCTGGCAGCGGGGAAGCTGCTCTGGGTGAGCGCGCCTCTGCCAGGCGGGAGGCTGCGTGGGAGCTGGCTTCCTGCCTGGAAATCGTCCCAGTGTCTTCAACTGCTGGTTTAATTCCTTGCCCAGAGAAGCCCTCTCTGGGGGTGGTCCCATCGCTCCTGACATCCTCTCAGTCCGCTCAGGTACTGGACACCCCTAGACTTGGATGCAGCCAGGCAGGTAGAACTCCTTGTCACTAGAGTCCTGTCCAGGCGCGTGTCGGTGGCCTTAAAGTAGGAGTCTCGGGTTCCCGAGCAGTGGCCGGCAGCCGCCTTCTCTCCGCTGTGGCCGAGTAGCCGCTCTGTGACCCCAGGGCAAGTTGAGGCACACAGAAAGCAGCTGGGAAGAGGGACCCTGTCTGGTCCCTGGTGAGCGTTTCCCGCTGTCCTGCACGGTGCCTCTAAGTTGCAGAGGCACCCAGCAGTCATCTTTGTCTTATCAGAGCTGGCCCAGAGCAGACACTCCCAGAATTCTGCGGTGGGGATGTCCTTGATAGTCCCGGGGTGACGGCGTGCGAGGGGTGGGGTGGGGTGGGGTGTGCTGGGTGTGCCGTGGCGGCGTCAGTGGGACTGACGGTCTCTGTGTCCCCGCAGTGCAAGAACTACATCAACCAGTACTCGGAGATCGCCGTCCAGATGATGATGCACATGGTAGGTGGCGGGGCAGCGCTCGCGCGTGCTCCTCGGCTCTCGTCATTTCCAGGAACTCTGAGCCGTGACGTTGGAGCCCGGACGCCCCCCTCCAACCAGCAGGCTGTCCCCCTGCGGAGACTGTCTCCCCCGAAAGGGAAGCAGCCGGTGCTCAGGACGGCCCTGGCGCCTTCCTGGTGCTGTGCGGAGGCGAGCTGACCTGGCTTCCACCTGCAGCCCCTAGAGATAGTCCGCTGTGTCACTGAGCACGCGGCCGGAGGCTGGGAGGAGTCCTGCCCTGTGGAGTTGGCCTCGTGCACTGTGGCAGGCCCTGCTGCGTGAGCCCGTAGCTCCTGCACTGGCGCCTGTCGCAGCCTGCCGGGGAGGGGCGGGGCCGGCAGCGGCTGAGCGAAGGGAAGGGGGCTGGCTGGGCGGTGCCCACGGAGCGGTGGGGCGGCCTGCGGGCGTCCACACGCGGGAACAGCACTCGGCCTCCCGGTCTGAGCTGCAGGGGTGCACTCTGTCCTCTGTCACGCTGACTGGCTGATGAGGTCTAGACTCGGGGACAGCTCTTGTTGATTGTCCACAGGGCGCAGCATTTTCGCTGTCACCCATTAGCAGCACAGGGACAGCGCTGAGTAGCTGGAGTCAGGACTTTAGGACCGGCAGAGCCGTCAGGATTGGCTTTGTGGCCCCTCTGGAACCATCAGATGTCCACCCAGGCCAGGGTGGGTACTGCGCACACCCCGCCTCGTTGTAACAGCTGTCTGAGGCCGCTGGCGCAGGCACGCGCTGGAAGGCAAAGCAAGCCTTTGAGAGGGCTGCTGTGGTGCGCTGCCTCCTCCAGCTCACGGGTACGTCCCTCGGGGTCAGAGTGCCAGCACGCAGCTTTGTCCGGAACGCATGGATGGTCTTGCTCATCCCAAAGACCATTTGGGGTTTCCTAACACATCACTGGGGTAGTACATCATCTGCTACTTTGTACTTGCCAGGATGTTTTTGGCCACAAAATGTATACTGATGATGAGAAACTGGTCTGAGTGATTATTAAGTGGCCGCCTGAGAACGGCTGTGTGGCCAGGAATTTCCATAGCCCGTGCCCCGTGGCTGGCTGGTGATGTTTCTGGTTTGCCCCTGGAACGGTGGCCATCCTCACGGCCGGTGGGTGTCAGGTCTGTGGGATCCCCCGAGGAGGAATGACAAGCTGGAGTCGCCGAGCCCCAGCACCAGGCTTCTGATAGTGCTGTGGGATCTGCTTCCAGGCCAGCACTGGGCCACCTTCAGGCTGGTAGGACCGAGAGGCCTGGGTAGTGGAGAGGGCACTGCGTACCACATGCCCTTCCCTGGGCAGCCCCCTCTGCTCCTTTGTGCACCTGCCCGGGGTAGGCTCCTGCGGATGGGGCCCTTTCTAAAGGGGCATCTTCTGGGGGCCTCGCTGCCCAGCGTGGTGAGCAGGATTTAGTGGTTGACCGTGGGGGCCACGCACACGCTGCTGGACAGTGTGGTCATCCCTTGAGGGTTTACAGGGCCCCTGTCCACAGGGTAGTAACAAGGGAAGCTGCCTGATAACCCGCCTGCGAGGTTCTGGCCCTTTAACTTGCTGTGACGTCCCTGCACCTAGTGAACTGCTTGGTTATTGTTTTAATTTTCTTAACTGTGTGTCCTTTCCTTTCTCTTATTTCATCTCCGATTTCCTGTTTTTTTGTTCAACAGCAGGATCAGGTATGTGATGGGGAATTTGCTTGTAGTTGCGGTCTGCTGCTCTCCTAGTTGGTGCTTTTTTTTTTTTTTTCCTCTTTGGTATGGTGTGGTCCGCTTTGACAGATGCAAAGAATGGTTGCGAAAGGCAGAGTCCCGTCTGAGCAGGCTGGGGAGAGCGTCTGCATCTCTCCTCTGAGGTTCCTCACTCGTTTAGGGGGCTGGAAAACAAAGCCAGCCGAGCTCTGGGCTCTGGTCAGAATGGACACGCAGGCCGCACACGGGCAGGCCACGAGTGGGATGATGGGGAGCCACAGGTGGCCCGGGAGGTGCCCGAGCCTCTCTCGTGGAGGCCTGACTTCCGGCAGGACGCCTTGTGTCTGTCATGTCGTGAGTGGGCGTTGCATGTCTTAGCGCTTCTGCATGAGCACATCATTCACAAGTAGCTGGCAGATTGTTCCCCCGTCTGTTGGATCCAGAGGTGGAAGCAGTCTCTCGATCATGGCTTCTGTCCCTCTGGGTGATGGGCTGCGTTGGGGTCTGGAACCACAGCTGAGGGCCTGCTGTGGGAACCGAGTCCCCAGGCCCTTCTTGCTCTGCGCCAGGGTACTTGGGCCACTGTGAGGGTTGTCCCCCTCTCGGTGCTGGCATCTAGCTTCTAGACTAGACAGATTTTTTAAAATTTTTATTTCAGAAGTGGTGTTCCATCCGCTGGTTCACTCCCCAAATGTCCGCTCAGGTTGGGGCAGGGCCAGGCCAAAGCCAGGAGTCTGGAGTTCAGTCCAGGTCCTGCCCATGGGTGGCTGGGATCCAAGTGCTGGAGCCACCGCTGCCGTGTCCCAAGGTGCATGTGCAGGAAGCTGGAGCAGAAGTAGAGCCAGCACTCAGATGCAGGCACTGTGACAGGGGAGGCGGCATCCCGAGCCACGTCCTGCCCGCTGCACTGATGCTTGCCCCTCGAGATGCGTGATTTTTGGAAGGTCTTTTGAAATGACCTCGGTTGAAACACCGGACTTTTCACCTGGGCCTCCTCAGGGACTTGGGGCAACGCTGATCCTGAGACAAAAGCAGTGATGCACCTTCTGGGTCTTGACGCAGTTCTACTAAAAAGCCTGCTGCTTCTGCAGCTTTGTTCTGTTTTTCCCCCTCCATTCTTTTTTTTTTTTTTTTTTTTAAAGGCAGAGTGGATAGTGAGACAGAGAGAAAGGTCTTCCTTTGCCGTTGGTTCCCCCTCCAATGGCTGCCACAGCTGGTGCGCTGCGGCCGGCGCACCGCGCTGATCTGAAGGCAGGAGTAAGGTGCTTCTCCTGGTCTCCCATGGGGTGCAGGGCCCAAGCACTTGGGCCATCCTCCACTGCCCTCCCGGGCCACAGCAGAGAGCTGGCCTGGAAGAGGGGCAGCCGGGACAGAATCTGGCGCCCCGACAGGGACTAGAACCCGGTGTGCTGGCGCTGCTAGGTGGGGGATTAGCCTAGTGAGCCACGGCGCCGGCCTCCCCTCCATTCTTAAGATGCGCCAAAGCTGGGCTATGTGGGATGTGCTTGCCATTAAGAGTCCCCACCCTGACAATCTTAGACCCCCCTGACATAAAACAGGGTGAACCACAGGCATGGCCCAGCTCCTCCTCCCGTAACAGCCCCTGATTTAGTAATCTTGTTGCCACTGCTTTGTGGGGTTCTTGGTGGGAGGCCGATGCCATTAGGCCCGCAGCTGGGTGCTGGGTGCACTTGACGCACAGTATACAGAGCGCGCCAAGCGTGTATACTTGTCTGGCTTTGGGCATCTCAGTGCGGTGGTCAGCGTGGCTGAGCTGCCTCGTGCTCTGCGGTTTGGTGGTTGGCTCTCTGGATGGTGGAAGGGAGCGCCACACAGGTCTTAGGACTGGAAGTGATTCAGCGCTGGGGGTTGGGTTTTTGTGTGCACTCTGCGTTGTGAGCGTGGAATGTGGTTTTAAAGGAGCCGGCATTTCCCCCTTAGTGCCTCGGGTGCTGCCGCCACTGAGAGATCCGGTGTGGTTCTGTTTCTGCCACACTTGGTTTGCTGTTGGTGTGTGGGCCGGGTCATTCCCCCTCCAGAAAGATCCTGGAGCACGGGTGTCCTGGGAGTCCCTGTTCCCCGGGGGGCCCTGGCTGCCGGCCTGCCTGACAGCCCTCCGGGCTTTGCATGTCCTCTCCCCAGACACAGCCGAGCCCTCTTCAGTGGAAGCTGGGATGTTGGCCTGGCCTGGGGGCGGTGGGGGGGTGGACCTAACGGAGGGCCCAGGGTGCTCCCTGGCGCCCAGCCTTTTGTAGGGAGCGGGTTACGGAGTGGTGAGTTCAGGCTCACATCTGATTGGCAGTTTTGTGCTCTCTTCAGCAACCCAAGGAGATCTGTGGGCTGGTCGGGTTCTGCGACCAGGTGAAGGAGATGCCTATGCAGGCCCTGGTCCCCGCCAAAGCGGCCGCTGAGAACGTCGTCCCTGCCCTGGAGCTGGTGGAGCCCGTCAAGGTAGCTGGTGTCCCTGTGGGGTGCGGGCTGCGCCCGTGAGTCAGGCCAGGCTCCTGGAGATCCCCAGGTCCAACACCGCTAGGTGCGGTGTGGCTGTTCCTGCACTAACGCAGCCACCTGGCGCCGAGGTCTCGGGAGAAGCTGTTTCCCTGCACTAATACAGACCCCGGTGTTCCGGGGTCAGTGTGTGTTTTCTCAGCATGTCATTCAAGAGGGATTTCTGTGCCTGGCTCCAGCCCGACTGCACATGTGCTGCCTGGGTTCCCCCTTGCCCTGCATCATGGCACAGATGTGATAGTCCCACAGGATTGCCCCTCCTGCTCCCGCCCCTTGGTGGCTTTCTCTGGGGGTGTGGGAGTGCATTTTGGGGCCTGGACTCTGTCGGTGGGTAACGATCCCAGGACTCCACCCCGCAGTGCTCACTGTGGGTCAGGCAGTGCTGAGCACACATGCTGATGGGGCTGGTGGTCTGGCTCTGCAAGGCCCAATCCGTGTGCTGCGCTAGCATGTGGCATAGCATCACTTCCAGAATGTTCCCTGGCACTTGGCCACCAGCGGGCCCCCCCCCCAACGTGTGACAAGTGTGTGGCCCACAGGAAGTGCCACAGCATCAGGCGTGGTCAGGGAAGCCCCCCTCCCACCTGTCTTCCCCACGACACGAGAGCGTGAGCGAGCCTCGGGCTCCTGCTGTGACCGGGAATTCCATACAAGCAGACAGAAACGTGGAGTGTCGCCTCCCTGTTGACTGCCGCTGGGGCCTCGTGCACGACGGAGGTGGCGCTGTGCCCCCACAGGAGGTTCCCCACAGCCGTGCCACGTGTCTGAAGACAGGCCCTAGAGCGGCAGGTTGACGCGTTGGCGCTGCCGAGTGAGCCGCCGGCCGGCCGGGGTGGGAGAGCCTAGCTTCGCAGGGCGCACGGACCGGACCGCGACTCCTCGGCCTGCCCCTCCCCTACTCACCTCCCCAGCGCCAACACCGTGTGTGGACAGGGACCTGCTTCAGTTCTCCGTAGTCGGGTGCGGGGGAGGGGAGGGTGGCAGTGTGGAGGACGGGGCAGGGTTAGGACAGAAAGGAACTTGAGCGTGGGTGGTGGTGAGAGGAAGCCCCGCTCGTCGAATTCCGTCGGCCCAGGCTCCTCCTCTGTTAGGGGAGCAGGGCTGAGGGGCGCGGGTCGCGGCATCGTGTGCTCCTGCCCTGTCCGCAGGAGAGACCCGTGCAGGCCCGTTCCGACCTTCTGTGCAAGGCCTGTGAGCTCGTGGTGAAGAAGGTGGTGGATCTGATCGACAACAACAAGACCGAGGTGTGCCGCCATCCTGGTGCCCCCACCCCCAGTGAGCCCGGCCCTGCGGGGTGTGGGGGGTTCGGGTCTGGCCGGTGCTGCGTGTGGACGCCCGTCTGAGAAGGCATAGCCGCGTCTGCTGTGAGCCCTTTAGACGGGCAGGGAGCCGCCCCTCCCTTCCGCCCGGGTTCCTGGTCATCTCCCCTACCACCCCCACCCTCCTTGCCCTGTGGTTTCACATGGCTCCCTGGCTGTGTTTCAGGAGGAAATTATCCACGGTTTGGATAAAGTGTGCTCGGAGCTGCCCGCGTCCATCTCGCAGGAGTGCCAGGAGGTGGTGGACACGTACGGCAGTGCCATCCTGTCGGTGCTGCGGCAGGAGGTGGACCCCGAGCTGGTGTGCCACATCTTCCACCTCTGCTCCTCCGGCAGCACGCCGCCCAGGCTGCCCGTGGTGCCCGGTGAGCCGCGGGTGGGTGGAGGCCGGCCCGTGCCGGGGCTGGGAAGGCTGCTGGCACTGAGCCCCGTGTCCCGTCCTCCGCCCTAGCCCGTGTGGCCCCGGTGAAGGACGGCGGCTTCTGTGAGGTGTGCAAGAAGCTCGTCAGCTACTTGGAGCACAACCTGGAGAAGAACAGCACCAAGCAGGAGATCCTGGCTGCCCTGGAGAAAGGCTGCAGCTTCCTGCCTGACCCCTACCAGAAGCAGGTGCGGCCCGCCGATGGGACCCCGGGCTGGGGGCTGGCGGGGAAGCCCGCTGTGGGTGCCTCCAGCCACGGGGTCCAGGGAGGTGTGAAGCACTTGGAGGTTGGTTGGCTCAGGCGGCCCCACGGGGGGACAATGGGCTGAGGCCGCCCCGCGTGGGCAGGTGTCAGGAGGGAGGCCCCAGGGCCGCTGGCCAGGAGCGTCGGTGTTCTCCTGGAGGCGCCTGCTCTGCCCCGGCCTGGCCTCCTGGGCGCCCCTGGACCGTGTCCCCTCTCCTCGCCAGTGTGATCAGTTTGTGACCGAGTACGAGCCTGTGCTGATCGAGGTGCTCGTGGAGGTGATGGACCCCGCCTTCGTGTGCCTGGTAAGTGGCCCGGGCCGCCGGCTGCTCCCCGCCCGGGGCGCCGCCTCTTGGACTCGCGCCCGCGGACAGGGTGTGGGGAGAGCGCACCAGGAAGGCAGAGCAGCGGGCTGTGGACGGCAGCCCCGTGCTCCGCTCCCCGCTGTGTCCCCTCCCATGCTGGCTGCCGCCCTGTCCTGAAAGGGCTGCGCAGGGCTGCGCTCGCTCTGACCCTCCTCTTTCCTCCTCTTCTCACCGTGTAGAAAATTGGAGCCTGCCCCTCGGGCCCCAAGCCCCTCCTGGGGACGGAGAAGTGTGTCTGGGGCCCCAGTTACTGGTGCCAGAACTCGGAGACTGCTGCCCAGTGCAACGTGAGTAGTGGGCGGGCTCCCTGCCTAGTGTAACGGACCCGGGGACCACTTTGTCCCCCGCCTTGGTCTCGGGACACGGCCCAGAGCCGCGGTTAGGCTGGCTCCTGAGCCCTCCGGGAGGGAGGCGGGTGTCCTGCCGTGGGCTTTGCTTCTGCTTTCTCGGCCGTGTTCAGTTCCCCTGTGCCATTGTCAGACTTGCACCGTCACCGCAGGGGTTGCACAAGGCCCACGGGCCTGACTCAGATGTGTGTCGCGGGGCACGCTTGCCCTGCAGCCGCAGGGTGCCGTGGCCCTGGCCGCGCTGGCCGTCACCTGTTTGACCTCTTGCTGCCTGCCTTTGGTGGGAGCAGTACAGGTGTGGCCTGTTCTACCCAGTGTTCCTCTGTGCAACCGTTTCCGCCTCCCTGGGGTTCCTGTGACCAGGCCAGGGGGCACTGAGTCACCATGGCAGGGCGGGGCACAGGGGCCCCGGGTGCTGGCCGCACCTGTCCTGGGCCGTGCCCCGTGTTGGAACGGCTTGTGGCTGCTGGCCTGGGCCTGTGTGCCCCCCGTGGGGGCTGCACCTCTGCCTCGAGCCTGGGGTCCTGGTCCCGGCCGGGCCCCGCCCCCTCTGCACGTGCTGCTCTGGGCACTGGCTGAATGGGATAATGGGATGGTCTTAAACGAGCTATGGTTCTGGGATGGGTGGGGGTGGCCTGAGCCTCTTCTGAGCCTCTCTCCTCCTCCGCAGGCTGTGGAGCACTGCAGACGGCACGTGTGGAACTAGGAGGTCGGGCCTTGGGAAGGGAAGCCGTAGCCTTGTTATACCTACTTTCACCTGGGGTAAAGAACCCCTCCTCCTAGTTGACTTTGTTCTAAAAATAGGACCCCCTCCCCACCCTTCGCACCTCACTTCTCTCCTGTAGTGTTGCTGCCCCCAGGGCAGGTCCAGCTCCCTACTCCCCTGTCCCCGTTCTCACTGCTTGACGGTTGGTGGCAGTAGTGTGCACCGAGGGCTCCGGGCTGCCCGCACGTGGCGGTGGACTCGGGCGGGCCGGAGCGTCGTGGGGGCATGGGAAGCTGTCCACCCTCCGAGCTGGGGCCTTGCTCTGAGCCCTGTTGCCCTAACCAGGGGGCCTCCCAGGGAAGAGCAGCTCCCGAGCGCGGCTGTGTTAATTCCTGTGTCTGGGCCCTGCCTGGGTACCCTTGATCCTGGTGATGCCTTGTTTGGGGTCCCCCGGGGTTGGGTGGGGAGGGGGAGTCTGCTTGAATGTACGCCGCTCATTCCCTGGGAGCCTGCACCCCGGGGTGCCCACCCGGCTGCCGCCCGTGTGACTACTGAAGCTGCTGTTCTTCCTGGGGTGCCAGCACCCAGCGAGGGGGGCCGTCGCTAGCAGATGAACCTGAGTTGTTTGTTTTGCACTAAAGTTCCTGTGATTTAATAAAGTTCTGTTAACCAGATTGGCCAGGATCGTTTCTGTGCCGCCAAGTGGGTTTGAAAAGCGGCAACCCCTCTCCTCCCTCCCTCGGTGCCGCCCGAGCCCGCCGCCCTTCCCCCGGCCAGCGCGGAGGCAGGGGACCAGAGCCAGAGTGTAGTGCCAGTTCCTTGTGAGTTGCTTTTCTTTTTAAATGGACCATTCCAGAAACTCTCAATGCGTGCCAATTGAACAAAAGTGGGAGAGTACTGAGAATAACTTAAAGGAATACACACAGACACTCCACGTTCCAGACGCGAGGGAGCAGCAGTCTTCTCTCCGTAAGCTGGGCGGAGGGGGCAGCCGGGACACGGGGAGGAGGCTCTGTCGGCGACACTGATCACCTCCACGGGGCTTGGGTGGAGTACAGGTGTAGGCCAGCAGGGGGCGCCAGCTTCCCCTGTCTCCCATGTGCAGTGCATGAGGTCCGGCTTGGCCCTTGGCCTCCCACGTCCCCACTGTACCTCGTCCTTAGACGCTTAGCATTTTTGTTTGGTTTTCTTAAAAAAATAACATTTACTGAAGGTAGGTCAGATGACTGAACGCCTGGCAGGAGTAACTCGGAGCAGCTGATGGGGGCCACCAGGGCCAACCGGTCCTCGTCCAGCGCCCACCGGCCTGGCCTGGTCATAGCTCTGTGATCTCCAGCGGGCTCTCCATGATGACGTCGCGGAGCTTGTGGAGGGGCGTGGATTTGGCGGACTCGGTGCGGGCGTTGCGCTCGAAGGCCGCGGCCTCGGAGGCTGCGAGCGTCTCCAGGGAGCGGCCCAGGCCCTTCTGGTCGTCCTCGGGCAGGCTGCTGAGGTCGGTGGCCAGCAGTGTGCCGGTGCTGCCATGCACCACGTGGATCCCGTCGGGCCCCTTGAGCTCCATGGGCGGCTTGTGGCGGAAGCGCAGGCTTCCCTGGCCTGGGCTGCGGTCCCCCAGCTCCTCCTCCAGCTCGCTCTGGATCAGCTGCAAGAGGCCAGGAACCCCCCCAGCAAGGTGCTCAGGGCCCCACCCCCAGGGCTGGCAGGTGCATGGCCCGGAGTGGACCTGGGTGCAGAGGGACGCGTAGGGTGCTTTGTAAGTGCATGCACACCGGTCTGCAGTGCAGTGTCCGGCTCTGTCACCGCGTTGGCCTCGTGTAGGGCCAACTGCGGCAAGTGTCCCCTGGGGAATTTGGAAAGGGGGAAGCACACTGAGTCTTCGAGGACCACTCCCGGTGGGAATGTGCGCCCAGCTAGGAGGCCTTAGTGTAGCTCAAATACATGATCCCTTCATGCAGACAGGGTGGCCTCTCTCACCCCGAGGGCCAGTTAACCCATCCCCCAGTCCTGTGAACGCTACCCCACCTACTCCCTGCACCCCGCCCCACAGCGATCCTTGGCTCTGGCTGCAGAGGGGCCGAGAAAGGTAGCAGGAGAGTGAGCACCCCCAGCAGCGGGGCACAGCACACAGCGCCGGGCCGCCCGGCTACCTCGGACAGGGAGGAGTGGCAGGAGGAGGCTTTTTGCACCATCCGCTGTGCAAAGAGCTTTTTGAGCCGCAGGTAATCCTCCAGGACCACTTTCAGCAGCGAGCCCTGGGAGAGGGAGAGGGTTAACCCTCCCCTCCGAGGCCATCGCCCTCCTGCGTTAGGAAGGCCCTGGCCTCACAGGGCCCAGGAGGGATTGCTCCAGGCACCCTGGTGTGGGGCGGGCTTACCTGGATGGGCCCCTCCCGGATGATCTGGCCCAGCTTGGCAATGTTGTCGTATTCCTGGATGGCCGCCCGCAGGTACCGGTCATCGGCAGGCTTGACGGCTGTTGGCTCTCGCCCGAAGGTTCCCTGGGGACAGGGAGCATGGGCTGGAGCTCAGGTAAATGTCACACAGGGCCGGGACCATCCCCTAGGGAGGGCTCCTGGAGCTCACGTGCGTGCGGGTGGGGCTGCTCCACAGGTCGGCCATCTCGCTCAGGTTCTCGGGGAGGTCATCCTCGTGCTCAGCCTGGGCCGCCAGCTCCAGGTTCCGGCAGAAGGGGTCCAGCCACACGGGGTTGGCTCTGCAGGTGGGGAGAAGGAGGGGCAGAATCCCTTCCTGCTTCCCTGGCCAACTGCGGAGCCTTCCTGAGGTTCGGGCCGTGGGAAGGAGGCCTCCGGCAGCGGCAGCTGCGGCTGTGTTCTCCCCACCTGGGATCCTGCTAGAACGAGCAGGATCGGCCCTCTGGTGCAGCAGTGGGCCTGGTGCTCCAGTTCTGTGCCCTTGGAACTTGGGCACTGTCAGTGGTGGAGTGAGGGGGTGGTCAGCCCACCAGGGGGTGCTCACATCCCAGGTTCCAGCCAGTCCATGGCATCTCTGCCAATTGGATCCTGGGCAGTGTGAGGGCCCCACTCACCCGTCAAAGGAGTACTTGTTGGTGTTGGGCATGTCCATGATGTCGATGAAGCCGCGATTTCCTGCAGGGACAAGCGTGGGGTGTGGAGGGGAGGGATGCAGCCAGCAGGGGCTGGGGGAGCCTGAGCCGGTCCCTCGGCCATAGCTCTCACCTGCTGAGCCAGCCACGATGGCCTTGAGTTTCCTCTTGTGTCTGGGGAGAAGCAGAGACATGCTGCTGAGGGGGGCCGGGCTCCCCTGCCCACTCCGTGGCTGTCCGGGGTCAGGGGCACTCACACTGTCCGGTAGTACCAGTTCATGAGGATGAAGAGCATGGCCGCCAGGAAGAGGAGGATGGCCAGGACGATGATCGCCATCTGCGGGGACAGCGGGCCTGAGCTGAGTGCAGGATGCCGGGGGCCGGGGAGGGCAGGGCCCGGGGTATTGAGGACAGCAGGCCGGGGCTGAGCCCGGGATGCCGGGGCCAGGGGCCAGGGGCCAGGGGCCAGGGAGAGCGGGGCCCGGGGTAGGGAGGACAGCAGGCTGGGGCTGAGCCCGGGATGCCGGGGGCCGGGGAGAGCGGGGCCCGGGGTAGCGGGGACAGCAGGCTGGGGCTGAGCACGGGGTGCTGGGGGCCGGGGAGGGTGGCGCCCAGGGTAGTGGGGACAGCAGGCAGGGCTGAGCGCGGGACGCCAGGGCTGGGGGCCAGTGAGGGCGGCGCCCGGGGTACCTGCAGCGCCGACATGTCGTCGGGCAGCCGCACGGAGATGGCTGGCTGCACGTCCAGCACGTTGTAGTTGCGGAAGAGGTTGTGCAGCTGCTCCTTGTTCTCGTCGATCATCTGGATCACCCTGGGTGCGGGGCAGGGGCCTCAGCTCCCGCCCTCAGCCTGCCCCCGGGGTGGTCCTGCCCCTCTCCTGCCTCAGGCCTCCAGTGCACCCAGAAGCCCTGCCCAGTTCAGACCCACCCGGCTCTGACTTCTTTTATAGGGTCCACGTGGCTCCACCTGGGACCTTGATTCATCCTCACAGGAGGAGGAACGCTCCCATTTTACGGACGGGGAGAGTAAGGCTCAGGGGCATCCCCAAGCCGTGTCCTCTCTCCTGGCCTTGCCCCCTTTGGTGGGGGGCAGAGTAGGCCCTCGTGCCTCCCGGGAAGGGAGGTGGAGAGGTCCCGGCCCAGGCCCCCTACCCACCGGTCCACGCCCAGGATGCGGTTCGTGTCGCGGTTCACCACGTGGATGAGCAGCTCTGTCTGTGCGAAGTTCACCCGGCCCTTCTTGTCCACGTGGAACTAGGCGAGAAGGGGCGTGGGGGGTGGTCACCACAGCAGGGCCCAGGGCGGTGCGGGGCAGTGTGGGGAGCAACTGAGAGCAACTCGGACTAGACTAAGTTACTGGAATTAAGACTTATTCTATGCATCTGCTCTCCCACAATATGGCGCTGGGAGAGGAGGAAACAGCTTCTACACAGCTGCCTCCAGTTCAACCAATAAACAGCAGGACCTGCTCCTGATTGGAGGAGAGCAGCGTACTCGGCGTGTGGGTAGCAGAGTTGGGATTGGTGGAAGAGGACTATAAAGGAGGAGAGAGACAACATGCACCAGGAACACCTGAGGAACATCTGAGCAGCCCCCGAGAGAGCCGGCCGGCAGTGTGCCGCTCCCCCGCGGAAGTGGGGAAAGTGGCAGGGGGAACCGCCCTTCCATGGAGGTGGAAGGGTCGGTAGCCAACCCGGGAAGAACCAGCAGCAAACCAGGGGAGGGCCGAGCAGACAAAAGAACAGCGCAGGGTCCTGTGTCGTTCCTCCGCGAAGAGGGGGAGCGACAGGCAGCTCTCTGCCAGGAGCGCCTCCTACCCACCTCCCAGCCACAGACCCATCACTGCCGATGCCTGCTGCCGTGTGCCGCATAGCTCCACCTCTGCTGGTCCTGGTACTGATTGTTAATCCCATTTTGTGGAGACACAGGAGGCCCAGAGGCCTGGGAGAACCTCCTCACAGCCTCGCTGCTAGGAAGTGACCCCACTTCTCAGGCCCCTGACCTGTCGGCCATGCCCTGTCCCTCCCTAGGGCCTGGCCTCTGCCCCGGGTGGGGGTGGGGAGCAGGGGCACCTGCACGTCGTCAGTGTTGACGATGGCGCCCGTGATGTTGGACAGCAGGCGGATGAACTCCTCCTCGAAGCTGCGCACGCGGTCCGGGATCTCGTTAATGACGATCTTGACGCGCTGCTCATCCCGCAGGATGTAGATGCCGATGACGGCCGTGTCGTTGTGGCCCGCCAGGTCCCGGGCCACGATGTCCACCATGAAGTAGCCAGGGCTGTAGGCCATGAAGAGGTCGAAGGTGCGAAGGATGCCGTCTACACTCCCTGCGGAAGAGCCCAGGGCGGGGCACAGCTGAGGGACAGCCCAGGGATGTTTAGGGGGAGGCGGCACACGCGCCCCAGGGTCTGGCGGGGAGCAGGTGACAGGTGCATGGGAATAGCGCCCCGCCAGGAGGCGGCAGCTTGGGCCGTAGTGCAGGGCGCTGTGCGGATGCGAAATCCCCAAACACTCTGCATGTTCATGCCCGCCCAGGGCTGTAGGGGACCAGTCGGCCCTGGCTCTTACACCCACTTCTGAATTCTGTAGGCATGGCTGCGCACAGACTGA